ACATGCGCTTCGATCTCGACAGCCTTCTCTTCGAGCTCCTCGGCGACAGCTGAGACGCCTAACGCTCGATACGAGGCGATCTCGCCACGCATCGGAGCCAGCTTCGCTTCGTTTTCCTCCACCCGCGACATCATAAACTTGACACAAGGCAATTCGCTTTCAAAATAGTTGAGTGAGGCCTCCAGTTGCTGGGAAATACAAGCTGTTTGCTTGGCACGAAGCGTGTGCACTTGGCTGTGGGCGAGTCGTGCCTGACGCACTTCACTCTCCACTCGGCTCACCTCGGTCGATATGACGCGACGACGTTGCGCGCGGGAGAATCGCCGCGTGACGTGTTGGTGCTCGGCGCGGAAGCGCGCAGTGTCAGCGATGAAGCGCTCTTCAACTGCACGCATATCCTCGTCCGCTTGGTGCTGCTCTCCAACTGCGCGTTGCAATTCACTCTTCACGGCACGCAACTGCGTCTCAAGCTCCTCTTGTTTCTGACGTAACGTCTGCACCTCAGCACTCGCTGCGGTCTTCTTTGTGCGTAGAGGCGCCAGCTCTGCGTCCTTGCGGTCCTGCATATCCTGCAGAGACTTGCTCACAAACGCTTCTTGTGAATAATTTGTACGTTGCACGTTTCTGTGCGGATTCGGACAGTTTATGGGGCCATTGCATAAATCAACTAAGGCTATGCCTGAAGTAAGCCCTGCAACTTTCCGAATACCAACTTGAGTGTTTCAGTAAGCTCAAACGTTGGCTGTTCTCACCTCCGCTTCACCAGCTCCCTAATTTCAACAAGCCGTTCCTTATTCGTATGGGATGCCTCGATTTCGCCATGGGGGGGGTCTATCCAAACGAGGGGGGGGTATTACACCCGATCGCGTATACAGGACGAAAGATGAAACCAGTGGAACTCAACTAACCTTTTCGAGAGCAGGGGTTACTATTTATCATTCATACACTATTAATACGAGTATGGCGCTACTATGGGAGACGGATCACAAGGGTATTGAGACGATTTTGACGCCGCAAACAACCAAACGTCGGGGGGGAGGGGGGGGCGTTGGTTTTTCAGCCCCAGGTCAAGTCAATTCCAGGTAACAGTAATCAAATCGCAGGCACGATAGCACGAAACCCGCTATTTTGGCACAAAACGGCACAAGTTAGCTTAAGCGAGCTTATCGTTTGCAGCCCGAAGATTATGGAAAGCATCCAAACTACGAGTGCGACTGTGATGTACCCGGCGAAACAACTCTATTCTACGGACAGTAGATTTCAGTTACCATCACGATATATTGAAAAATGCCACGCAAACCCGTGAGGAATGGGTTCCTATTTTACCAGACAAGAGACGATGTAGCCTACACGGCAGTTGTCAGCAAATTAATGCCGCGCGGGA